TTTTGGGAAATTCCTCAAAAGGAGGAAGCCCAAAAACCTTAATGAGAAAAAAAAGGGGAGACTTAAAAAAAAAAGGACGGGGGGTTTTTTGGTATTTTTGGGGCCTTGCGATTCCTCCCACCAACTTTTGCTATCCCAAAAAGCGCGTCTTGCCCGCCCGCCAACAACTCCGCCGGCCGGCGAAACAAGTCTCCGGCGGGCCTCTTCAGCCACACGCTACCTCTTCTTCAGCCACAGACTCCAGGCTCCAGCCACAGACTCCGCTCGAACCATCTCGAACCAGTCACGTGTAGCCGAAGCCTCTCATTCGGTCCTTTCGGCTTACACAGAGCTTGGCGATTTCCCAAAACGGCTCGGACGACGCTCGCTACAACAGTGAAACCGGCCAATGCGGGCTTCACGCCTCACTTGCCCTGCACTCTGGAGCTTCCCCCGATTCTGCCGGCCCTGACCGCGCCCTCGCTCCAGCCTCTCACGGGACCTTTCAGCCCGGAGCTTACAAGACCGCCCTGACGCCCTCCAGACAGACCATCGTTCCTACACTTCACTTCCATTGCACCCACAACTCGAATCCCCCCTCCCCCCCGGCCCTTCGTGCAATATTTATCTTGGGCCCCCCCCCCCTCCTCTTACCTTTTGTCCTCTTCATTACCCTTCACTCTACTCTCCTACTTCAGCTCACATCATACCTTCACCTCCATCCAGCCTCCACACTACGCTATCCTCGCCTGCCCTATCACATCGTCGCGTCTAGTGACCTTTGCGTGCCAAGCCCTTTGCATGCTTCTCGTCTGTTCATCTTGTTGAATAGACATTTGTATCATATAAACAACCATTAACGTCTTCTGATCTACTAAACACACAGTATCGTAACCATGGGTCTCAACTACTTCGCATCCTCGCCCACCGTAGTCCTGCCACCCCAGCAGTCACGATCATGCTTTCCTCACCACCACGGGGCGCACTCACCACCAGCAATGGGTAATTTCCGTCCAAAATACCCTACTCCACCATCGTTAAACTATCTAGCGGCCGTTTCCAACAGCTCTGCTGGGCGCAAACGATCCATTGCCGACGTCGACGACCCGGAGGAGAATCAACCCGTTGGAGCAGTCGTTACTCAATTGCCCGTCAAGCCCAAGCCTGAGCCCATCTATGGCCCAGGTATGACGCTCATCTATCCTGACGAGCCTGGGTACAAGATGATTGCCGAATCCCAATCTGGCACTTGGTTCGAAGAGAAGATGGAGAAGGAAGAGAAGGCCGAGGCTGTACGTCCTATTGCCGTCTCGCGCAAATCAGCACGCATCAGCCCCTCGGTCAATGTAGAGGTGCCCTCACTCAACGACATGGATGCACAGAAAACCGAGGATCTGATTGACGATAACGGCAACACCATCAACACGCTCATTGCTTCGCTCGGCGTTGGCTGGAAAAATGTCATGACCAATCCCAACCTGCGCGACGCCGCACGCGCTTACTCGAGGGTCATCGAGCGCCACTTTGACTTTACCGATGCGCTCGTGATGCTCGAGAAAGAGTCGCTTTCAGCTTACCTTGTTCGCGCCAAGCAACACGGCGTCCAAGGCTACTGGCTATTCTCGGATAGCTTGCAATGGTGTCAACTTGTCGGATGGTCGCTGGAACGCACCGTCGCGAATCTCATGTCTGGTCCAACCCCTCGTGTTGAAGGCGAACGCATCAACGCCCGCCGTCTCACACCCCCAGTCTCCACTGCCCCGTTTGCCCAACCTGCCAACGACGCACTGGTTGACATGGACGCCATGGAGATGTAACAGACTTTTTACGTTCTCGCTTGGCCCTCTCTTCCTTTTCTCATCCAATCTCTGACGGCAACAAAAGTTTCTCGCAGTTGCATTGAGTTTCCTCTTTTTCCATTCCCGGTATCTTTTGTCCTTCAGCGACTCGGCGTTCGGCGATGGTTCGGACGGACCCCCAGATGGAAACGGCCGGTCGGTTCCCTATCTGACGTGTATTGTATATTATTAGGCCGTGCTGCTGCGAAATATTTCGATTTTGCCATCGAGTTCGCGTCGTGTAAGCTTTCTCCTATGCCACTGATCACACCAGGCAACAACATGAATGAAACTATGATTATTACTCCAATCCCCACTTCCACGATCAATTGACACGTGACTTGACAATTCTGCAAAACAAAAGATAGGTAAGTCACGGAAATTCCAAATATGGCGTGACCGTCCGCATCACCGAGGCTGCCCCCAGTCCACACAAAACGAGTTCTCCAAGTCCATGCCGGCCCCAGCCGAACGGCCACAACCCCCTCAAACACGAGACTGTCGCGTCCCCTCCGCGTCAAGCGCGCCCACACCCTTTTCCTCTTCCCAATCTCCAAACTTTCCGTCACCCCGTCAACGCACAACCCCCCGCTCACTCTCCAACCACCAAATCCCCGGTCGATCCTATTGGAAACCCTAATCAAAGAAAAGCCCGGCCGATGTCAGGGTAGCATGGTAGAACGCAGAGTAAGTTTGCGGATGTATGCAAGCGTATAGGAAGACAGAGGGGGATTCAGAAAATACCCCGAGATCAGACCATGGCGCGGGGGTGTGGGAGCTGACGGTGCAGTAATCACGTGGGAGATTGTGTGTTTTGGGGGGGTTTCGGAGTGCGGTAGAGATACGAAGACGCCGTGGAACGTACCTAGTCTCTCTCACGACCTGACCACCTCACTCGAGAAACAGCATCAAAAGCACCTTGTACCAGCATGGAGCTGGACCACCAGTCCGTCAAAATGCCGCTCGCTACCACAGTCACATCAAGCTAATCTTCAGCGTCAGCGTGGTCAGCAAGTCCGAAACAGATTCTTAATACACCATAGAATCTCTGCTTATTGAAGGATACTACCACTATTCCAATTCTAAAGATTGTTCTTGATTACAGCAGCAATGGCTGATACTGCATGGAAACTAAACGCGTCCCGGGTAAACCCCTAGATCTTGTTCTAGACCGACTTTAGTCATCCTCACAGTCTACTCCCTTCCGATGATGAACTATGAACAGTATAGGCACTATCATCATCGAAAATGGGAATCTCTCAGTCAATGATGCCTGAAAGAGCAGCAGCTACCATAATTTCACATATATTGGACGTCTACTTGTGCAAGAATAGACTTGGGAGAAGCAGACAGATGATTTAAAGGGCTTGTTATAGCAGCACATGGTTCAACACAAAGTAGATCGCGAATCCTAGTTGGCTTTACGTTGCCTTTCTCCTTTGCTAATTTCAACGAACGTGGAGATGAGGGACTAGTACAGTTTCTGCTTTCGATGTGTTTTTTGGCACATGGAGAAGATGGCTGGGGCGCATGGTTGGGTAGAGAGAGATGGAGGGCCTTGGGAGGGGTTGATGAATGTTTAGGGTCCAGAGAGAGGAGAGAAATGACTGAGAGAAAACAAGAGTTGTAGGTATGTATAGACCATCTCGCCGTTATACCAAGAGCACACATTATCACAAAGTCTATATCTAACCAGAGTACAGGATTGCGATCAAAAAGCTTCACTTTCTCTATATTTGTGCGAGGGAGAGGAACAATGACAACAACACTACAACAGGCGTAGATTTGATACAAACTATACAAATTGATGCAGTTAGACGCCCAAGAACAATGCTTTATGAAGGGTGAAATGGGCAAAAACGACAACCTGCTTGAAGAAAGTAGTATACTCATCACATTTACTTGCACATGTATCTGACCCAAGACCCTCCACTCTTTCCTCCTTTCCGACACACACTCTCTCCAACCATACAATGAGCTAGGTCTTTCTATAGTTATGTAGAATTCCCCATCTCAACATAGCACGATATGCACTATTGTACCTCACTATTCCACCGTCTCGGCGCAGGCGGTAGTCCCTGACCTCCGCCACCCCCGGGCATGGGACCCCGACTCCCTGGTCTCGACCCAGCATCGCTGGACCCTGGCGCCGTTCTGATAGGCAGACTCATACTGCCCTGACCTGGGGTATGAATGCTCGTACTACTACTCGTTCGTGCGGGATACGAGGGTCTCGGTGGCGCGGGACCACTACCGTTGCGCATGTGATGTTGCTGCTGCTGGGATGAAGAACTAGTTTGTGCAGTGTATTGGCCGTGAGATGAGGAGGTGGAGGAACTGGGCGCGTGGTGGGATTGGGATTGGGATTGCGCTTGCGAGCTGGACTGCGTGTGTTGGGGGCGCGAAGCGCTGGAGTCTCGCCGGGGTGGGGAGCGTTCGCGGAGTTGCTGTTTTATAGTTGCAGACGCAGACGCAGGGGCAAGGTGGGATTTGCGCTTGCTGTGTTCGATCATGGAGATCGCCCAGGCCTC